CGACCTATGAACCAGGAGGTCTCGGTTCGATTCCCGGTCAGGGCATGTGCCTGGGTTACAGCTCAATCCCCAGCAGGGGGCGTGCAGGAGGCAGCTGATCAATGACTCTCATCATTGATGTTTCTCTCTCTCCCCCTCTCCCTTCCTCTCTCTGAAATCAATAAAATGAATAAATAAATAAATATATTTTTTTAAATTTAGCTTTTAAAGTTTATTGCTATCAATAGTGAAATTGCATAATCAAATGAATAATAATTATAATAATAAAGCAGTATTGTATAGCCCCAGTGTTTTCCGTAGTGCATTCATTTACTTATGATTTTTTTAAATCCAAAGCTAGGTCAGAACTTATATTGTCCTACCTGACCCCAACCGCTTTACTGTCATCAGCTCTTGCTCTAAATGTTATCTCCTGTGCGTTCTTGTTCTGTTTTTCTTGTGGTGAGTTTCCCGATAGCAGATTGGTGATATCTATTTCATGCTCAGTTCTGGAGCTGTGCTCAGGTATTTCCAGCCACTTCACTGGCTGACACCACTGAATTTAGCTGGTATTTTCTGTTTTAGGTTTGTGATCCATAAAATTTAATACTCTTGGGTGTCTTCTTTCAGGGAGCCCTCCTAAATCTCTTCAGTTGAATTTGGTCCCATTTCTGTGCTTTCACAACACCCTGGGCACGAGTCCCTGACACTGGACTTAACAGAATCATTGTTTTTTAATAACCGGTTCAGAATCTCTCTCCCACATGGTGACGTGGGTCCTTGAGAACAGGTTCTTTACATCTCCAGCCTGTAGCACATGCTTAACGTCTAATAGATAGTCAGTAACCACTGGCCTTTACCAAATAATGCCTTTCTCTGAGAGCATGGAGGCACTTTTGAGAGCAATCTTGCATTGTCAGTGCTTCTTGCCGCATTCCTGCATAGCAATTTAGAACTCAGGATTTTAAACCCTTTCCTGGTATTTTCAGAGACAGGCAGTGTCCACCCCCAGCGTGGAGTGACAATAGCTTAGAGAGAGAGTCTGTCCCCTAGGCTGTCCCTCCTGTTCACATTCTCCTGCTTCTTAGAGGCTTGCTCTGTGAAATCTTCATCCCCCTGGAGCCTCTTTGTGTAGATTCTGCCCTCTGAGATTGCCATCTGGCCCCAGTAGGAGGATGCCTGAGAGTTTTATTTACTTATGACAGTATTGAAAATGCCTTCTTGCTCATGGTGGGCACATAAGGCATGAGCATATTCGTGCTGGCACCGAGTACTGAACGGAAGTCAATAACCAATTCAGAGCTCATCTCACAAGGCCTCCTTGCTTTTTTTTTTTTTTTTTTGTAACAGTTACTTAACATGGTTTAGCTGTGTTTTACATATTGCTGGATTTCTGGGGTGGAACCTGGACCCCCAGAGTTCACTGGGTAAAGTGCTCCGCACAGTGACTGGCACAGGAGCACTCATAAAGATGACTACCTCTTCCCCCCCCATCATCATCATCATCATCATCATCATCATCATCACCGTCACCATCATCACCGTCACCATCATCACCATCTACTTCTGAGCTGAACGTGTCTTAGTTTTGGACCTCATTTTGGGGTGTTATTTACAATTTGAACACTGAAGTTGCCATAGTAGGTCATAACTCTTCCATGTGGTTGAATGTGTCCACCTGATTGCAAATGTCTAATATGTATATACCTCGGTCCTCTTTCATGTCAAGCTCTAGCCAAATGGCAGGAAAATACTTCCTTGGTGGGACTTCGGAATTCCATGGTATTTATTACTAGAGCTCTTCGAGACTTTCTTTCCTCATTCAACTCATGTCAGATAGCTGTAAATATGTTAGCTTGGTTACCAGTGTTAAATCCCAGTAACCGAGAAAAAATAAATAAAATTTGTTACTTGATTGTTAACCAGAAAATGCAAGGAGGTCTTGTGAGATGAGCTCTGAGCTGGTTATTGACTTCTGTTCAGTATTTGGTACCAGTGAGTCCCTGAATTGCCAACCTTGCTGTAATAATGCTGGTCATTCAATTTTCAGACAATAGGGCCTGTGACAGAATGCTTCGAAGCCAAGCACAGAGAATAGTAAACATTTGTTCTAGACAATGCCTATAAACTGATCTAATAGGCAAGCCTTAATAACAGCTAAAATTTGTGTGGATAAAGTGGAAAAAGTTTAAGTTTTGGAAGTCAGATGGACCTGGCTTTGCAAACGAGTAACATGATATGAACAAGTAATTAACGTCTGTAGGCCTCAATGTGCTCACCCATGAAGTAAACAGAATAATACTTATCTTTCTGGGTGTTACAGCATTTAAACATAATAGAGGTAATTTTTCAAACATTATGTTTATCATATTACATACCACCAGCAAGTAGTATTTGTAGAGATTATTATTTCTTCATTTTCTAAAATCTAAGACAACACTGAATATTAATACTCCATTAATTTAGTAAAAGCTCTGTGCAGGAGAAGATCAGCTAGAGCTTTTAGCCCCAGCCTGTTTGGTTCACTGGTTAGAGCGTCGACCTCCCGGACTGAAGGGTCCTGGGTTCGATTACAGCCAAGGGCAAGTACCTCAGTAGTAGACTTGATCCTGGGCCCCGGATGGGGCACGTGGGGGAGGCAACCAATTGATGTGTCTGTCTCACATCAATGTTTCTCTCTCTCCCTCTCTCTCTCTTTCTCTTCTATTTTCTCTAAAAAGCAATGGAAAAAATATCCTCAGGTGAAGATTAAAAAAAAAATACTTTGGTCATTTAAAACATTTTTCATTTGTCATCTTCCCACCCACTCTGCCGAGCTTAAACTCCTCTGGCTCCTAGACTAAATGAGTGCCCCGCCCCTTCATAGGATCCGTTATTGTAATTACTTGTTTAATTCTTTGCTAGAATATAAGGGCAAGAATTGCCTCTGTCTTGCTCGCCAATTCAGCCTTCTCTCTCCTCACCCCCAACCTCCTGCCAGCCACTCTAGTACCTTGCTTAGTACCGGTGTCTAATAGATTCACAGTAGGTATTTGTCAAATGAATTATCTTTTAGAATTTTGTTACCATTTCTCCTACTGAGCTCAATAATCTTGATTTTCCTATGGAGTCTCAGAGAATATAATTGCAAAACTTTTTAAATCTCATGTCTGTGGTTAGAAAGGGAGATTAAGCCTGAATGTTGCCAGAACAACAAATGCTATGACACCTCAGTCATTATTAATCCTTAAGGCTTAAAGGTTTGTAACATTTACCACCCATTTTCACAAAGGATTTAGGCAGTTAGAGAAACCCTCTTGTTTCCATATGAAGGTCATATGAGTGTCAAGACATATGTATGGTAATTTATGTATAAATTCAATATCTGCTATTAGGGGGAAAGAGTTTTCAAGGGTTTTCGGTGTTTTTTTCTTCTTGGAATAGAGATAATGCTATAGGCAAGACAATCTTTGGAANCCTGCTATTAGGGGGGAAAGAGTTTTCAAGGGTTTTCGGTGTTTTTGTTTTTCTTCTTGGAATAGAGATAATGCTATAGGCAAGACAATCTTTGGAAGTTCTAATATGGCCAACATCATTTCAAAACCATTTGTTGAATACTTATTAGATATAATATCTCACCTTATAAATTCTGCAACCCTAGAGCCAGGAGGAACCTTTGCTGTCATTTGGCGTGCTTCCTGGACGCTGTCTGGGAATTTAGTCTGCAGCATCTCTGACAGCCATTACCTCGCTTTGGCTGGAGAAATTTCAGGAATGGGCTTCCGTTACCGATGAGGCCACCTGCTCCACTACTGGATGCTCTAGGGGCACTATATTTTTTCTTCTATTTCCTTTTCCCTTCCCCAAACTACCATCTCTCTTCCTGTCACTTGGACACATTAATCCTCTACTGCAACTTAAATCCTCAACTTAAGAGCCTTTAAGGATTGGAAAGGAAGAAGCAATGCAGGCAAAGGGAGACGCCTCCCCTGAGCACACAGGGTTTCGCAGGCCACATGGTGGGCACGCTTTATGTGCTACCTCACTAACTCCTTACACAATCTAGTACAGCAAGCAAATTAATAACATTTTACTCAGAGGCAAGTAAAACTTGCCCCGTTTGCTTATCTTCATGTTGAACTCCAACTTTTTAGAACTCTAAACGTTCTGAGTCATGAGCCCGTGGGTGCGCATTTATATCTGTTAAGAGATAGTTGCATGGCATCGGCTCCTGTTCACTCTTTCTAAAATTGGGAGCACAGTTCTTATTGTCCTAGGCAACCTCAGAAGGTGTTTTTTTTTTTTTTAAGATAGAGGCTTCGCCAGTCATGTTAATGAAAGCCTTCTTGCTGCACGAACACACCATGGCCTTTGGAAATCACACCCAACAGAACTCTGTTGCCCTTTTGAAGTGAGAACTTCTTTATTAGAAATGATTCAACCCCTGGGGAAATTTGGGTTTATTGTGTCCTTTCCAGACTTGTGAGAAAATGTCCATGGTGGGGAGTGACAGTGTCCATTGCAGCCCGAGGGTACCTATCAGCATCAGAGCAACTCCTAAACCACTGGGAGACTAAACAACCTGGACTAAAATAACATTGACTTTCACGCTGAGACAGTCAGGAGTGATTAAGAGCCAGAGCTTGAGGATCACCACAACAAACTGTTTTAGAGGTTTACTAACATCCCAAAGTCACTGTTTGGAAATTCTTAGTGAGTAATCCACTGATAGAAGTCCGTTTAGACTAAAGTAATATTTTACACTATGTGTATACATTTTGGTTTTGCAACATCTGTAGGTTTTTAATAGGCTGATTTGTTTTTTAAACTGCTTGACTTGTAAAATATCAAGTCACCAAGTAACTATGTTGAATGTTTTCTCTTTTTTAACTCATTTTATGGGTGAAGTTGAGACCCAAATCTCCCAAAACACCTATATTTCAAGGTTTTTGGAAATGCTTTAATACTAAGGGGATCTTTTGGGGTTTCTATTATTTAACTGTCTGGGTTTTGTTTTTTCTGTTTTTCTGTTCTTTTATCAGGTTCTCCAAAGTACTTACTGTTTAAGTTGGATAAGCCAGTCCTGCAGACTACATTCCCAGTGCAATTTCCAATGATGAAAATGGCCCTTAAAATCCTTTCAGACCTGGAAATCTGTGTGAAACCAATAGGTAGGTATTTCTTTAAACTATTATAGATTATGTCAGAAACTCTGCAAGACAAATATGCCTAGAGAAACTAACAGAAACATGCCGTGATACACGCAAGAGCTATCTTTGGATGGTGAAATAATGGGTAACTGTTTCCCTTTTCTTTCTCACTGTCTGCTTTCAGTGATGAATGCACATTGCTTTCGCAAGAAAGGAGCTTTCCTTTGGAAAAGGCAGTTGCAGGGAACAGTATCCGCATATGTGAAATGAGATCTCAGGTGAATGTGCAGGCGACAGGGTGGGAAGCAGGGACACAGGCACAGCTACTGATTATAGAAGCAGATTGGAACGGGATAGCCCAGCCCCCGGCTCTCCTGGGCTGGCTCTTTGCAGGTCACAAATATAACTCCAAACATGGTGACAGGGTTTCAGTACCAGGTTATTTCTAACCCCTCGTGAAAGGTCAACAACTTCTCCACACAGCTTGGCTGAGTAATTTTGGATTTGACCTGAGAAACTAGTTGAGTTAGTCTAGGCTGTTTGATTTTAAGTAATAAATCTACTACTCAGCAATAAGAGTTCACAAGATAATAAAAAAGTCTGAACAGACACAAAGGTAACCGGACTTGTCAATTGACTTTTAATGGGATTGGCAGGATTTACACCAGGGAAGTCAGAGAAGTGCTGCCCCAAGATGTCCTGGAAGAGGTACCAAGTTCGTGTTATAAATATAGGCAGATCCGATAGTCTAGAAAGCTGGCAGAAACTTCTGTCCTAGCCATGTTTCCTAAAAGCTGATTTAAGTTAGTAAAACAAACTAAAAAATAACCTCTTACAATTGGTAGTACACATTCAAAGAAATATACACATATTCAGCAACATACCTTGTACGATTTTTCTTTTATTAATTTCTTCATCTAATCATCCACTCGTTCATTAAGTTAGCACATGCTGTTTTGAGTATCGCCCATGTCAGAGGCAAAATCTTAGGAGTTGGAGAATACATCAGAGGAAAAAAACACAACAATCCCTGAATTCATGAAACTTATGCTTATAATGCTAGAGAAATTTTTTTAAAAAACCAAATAAACAAGTGAGCTATATAATAAGTCAAATGCAGATACATGTAAGAAGAAAAGGAAATTCAGGAAGTGAGGGAGGGCATGCCAAGTGGGAGCTGGACGCGGGGAAAGAGATTGTTTTAACTGGTGGTCAGGAAAGGCCTTGCCGGTAAGGTGACCTGGTTAAGAAATGTTAAGAGGGTGGGCTTCAGACAGCTTTAATATTCCCCTTTTGCAAAGCATTTGAGCAGCAGGAGTGGGAGAATATGACTTAGTGTTTCTGTTCTTTATTTTACACGTGTGAAAGAGCCCTTCTTTTTATGCTTTAAGAGTGTTACCTTCCCCACAAGAACATGGTTCTTACACAAAAATAACACACAGTAAAGACATTTCCTCCCGAGTTACATGCCTGGTAAACAGACTCACTCAAGTGTCCCACTGAGTTAATACAACCGTGCATACGGACGTTAGTTTTCCCCCCATCCATTCACGTGTTTGCTACTGAAACTGACTGTAAGGGCAGGGGTGGAACAATGATTTGTTCCTGTCACCGGCCTCAGTGCCTAGCCCAGGGCCTTCTACATAAGCACTCAGTGATCACCAGTTGAACAAATAAATTTCGAGAGTAAAATAGACATTGACTTCAAACAGTTCATAAGATGATTCCCCAATGGCCACAATTGCCTACTAACTGTCCAAAGTGGGTAACTGTCTTACATCATGATGACATCTGGACTTTTCCAAGCCCTATGTGGACCTGGCATCAAGAACTCACTCTGGCCCGGCCGGGCGTGGCTCAGCGGTTGAGCGTCGACCTAGGATCCAGGCGATCAGGGTTTGATTCCCGGTCAGGGCACATGCCCGGGTTGCGGGCTCGATCAATGACTCATCATTGATGTTTCTATCTCTCTCTCTCCCTCTCCTTTCCTCTCTCTGAAATCAATAAAGATATATTTTTTTTAAAAAACAACAAAAAAAACCCTCACTCTGTAAAGAAAAGTGATGGTGTGCCCCCAACAGGGATTCTTTCAGTATAAGCGACTCTGAGAGGTTGTTTTCAATCCCATTTTCCCCATGACAGTGCGGTAAAATGAGACAGCTGTCATCGCCACATTTTTCTTATCTCTGTGACAGATAATCTGCTTTATACCCTCTTTCTGTGATCGTGTGGAAGAGTGATATTTTCACATCATATTAGGGGGCACAATTATGACAGTTTATGGTAATTACATTGGGGCAAATAATAAAAGGGGAAAAGGGAACCCAAAAGCTTGATTTTATAATAGACTCCTGATTCTAGGCCTTAATAATAATTGTGTGGTTTTGGACACGTTGCTGAATCTCTGTGAATCCCATGACCTCATCTGTAAACTGAGAATAATAATTACTACCTCACAGTAATATGATGAAGTTCAAGTTGGATAATATATGTAAAGAATTTGGTATAGTGCCTGGTATATAATGTGGGTATTTAATAGATTGTTCCTATTTTTACTACTACTAATAATAGTGTTGATGGGATATTGCTCAGCTATAACAAAGAATGAAATTTTGCCCTTTGTGACAACATGGATGGACCTAGAAGGTATTATGCTAAGTGAAATAAATCAGACAGAGAAAGACAAATACCATATGATTTCACTTATATGTGGAATCTAAAAAACAAAATAACTGAGCAAACAAACCAGAACCAAACTCATAGAGATACAGAGAGCATTTCTGATGGTTGCCAGATGGGAGGGAGGTTGGGGGAATGGGTGAAAAAGGGGAAGGAATTAAGTTGTAAAAATTCCCAGTTATAAAAACAATCACAGGGATGTAAAGTACAGCAAAGGGAATATAGTCAATACTATTGTAATAATTATGTGTGGCGTTAGATGGGTACTAGCCTTATCGGGGCAATCACTTTGTAAGGAATATAAATGTCTAATCACTATGTTGTACACCTGAAACTAAAATAAAATTGTATGTCAACTGTAATTGCAATGTTTTTTAAATTACAAATAGAAAAATATAATAGTGTTACTATTGGAGAACTTAGGCAAATAAGATTTTTTTGCCAGTTGTTGAACATTTATATGATCACTGAGGATAAAGCTCATAACTGTATTTGCACTTTGAAGTTTATCTTCCTCTCTATACTCATAATATTAAACCAAATAATGTTTATAATATTTTTGGATGTTTTATCACTTAAGAACATGAAGAAAATGTTTCCAAAAAAGTTTGAGCAAAATGGGATGGTATTTAATAGAGAACATGTCTGTGGACTCAGAGCACCACGTGTGATAAGGGTTAGCTTAGCAAGCTTTTTGCTACCATTGTGGTTAATCCTTTCCCTGTAGAAAAGCCATTATCATTTTGGGTAGCAAAGTGATGCTTTAATGGAGTCTGAGCTCTAGCCTGATGACTTTCTTTTTGTTTCTTTAGAGTTTTGAAGCATAACTAAGGACAGAGACCACCGCTAGGCACAAATATCACCAACTTGCTTGATTATGGAGATGGTCTGTTTGATGCTAAAAATGTGTCTAGTTTTTTGACAACGGCTGAATAACCATGGGGTCCAGTGGACTTGGGAAAGCTGCAACATTGGATGAGCTGCTGAGCACTTGCATTGAGATGTTTGGTATGAGCCTTTCCCCTCTATGTGTATCTTGATACCATCACTTTCTCCTATTGAGAGGCAAGTGTTGCTGTAGAACAGAATTCAATCTTCATATCTTGGTGCTTGGGGCCTTTTGGATCGACCCCAATCTGTCTCCCCAGTATCACTGCTCTCTGCATTTCCTTCGCTTTACTACCCACAACTCATACACTAGCCATACTGTCCACTTCATGTTTCTGGAACATTCCCTGCATCTTTCTACCTGCATGTCTTTATCACACCCCTTTCACTGAAATTCTGCTTCAGGGTTCATCTCAGATGTCATCTCCAATGTTCATAATACCATTCCTAGTCTCCCTGTCAGGAACGTTCCCTCTACCCCCCACAGTCCTTTGAAACTTTCTCATGGCACATGGTATATGCTGCTGTGATCATTTCTTGGTCTTTGACTTAGACAAGTGTGGGTAGCACAGTCTGCTGCATTTTCTATATTTGTGTATATGTCTTTTATCTTCTACTAGGTTATAGACTTTACAGCTAAGTTCTTATGTTGTTTATGATCTACCTCAGCATTTTGGATTATTCCTTGCACAATAGAGTCACACAAGAGTTTTTTGTTGAATTGATTTTAAAGGAAAAGTTAAACCAGAGTAGGGTTGCCAGATAAAATATAGGATCATCAGTTAAATTTGAATTTCAGATAAACTACATTTAGTATAAGTATGTCCTAAATAATGCATGGGACACACCTATACTAGAAAATGATTTGTGTTTTACCTTAATTAAAATTTAACTAAGGGTCCTGGATTTTTATTTTCTAAATTCTGGCAACCCTAAACCAGAGGAAAGGTGAAACCTACCCACTTAACTTGCAAGAAAATACCAGTAGAAGTAGGAGGAAAATGATAATTGAGCCTATGAGAAATTTTTAACGTTAATGTCTCTCTACTGATACTAAAAACAGAGAAGAGTAGTACTGTTACCTCCTCACTCCTAATTTTATTTTATTTTTTAACAGATGACAATGGAGAGCTGGATAATAGTTATTTGCCAAGAATAGTTCTACTGATGCACCGATGGTATTTATCTTCCACTGAATTGGCAGAAAAACTTCTCTGCATATATCTTTTCAACTACTGTATAATCATAAATCAAATTATGTATTTATGTAGATAGAATGCCTAACCAAAGCCAGTAAATTAAGATGAATAAATAATCTTCAGTCAGTTATCCAGCTGTTTTGTGAATATATTTAGATGTCTAGACAAAACATCTGGGTGATGGACCAAACAGTTGACTATCCATCTGGATGTTTTGGCTCTACTTGAAAATAATCGCTAGATTTAAAATGAAACAGGAGCTGTAGACTGAATGTCTCTAACCCGCCTTTAACATTTCTGCTGTTAGTGCAATGAAAGAATATTTACCACTGATTCAGGACCTAACTCATTCCTTTTAGAATGGCAAAATGGTAGACCTAGAGGATATGATTTAGACATTTAGAAATGCTAGCCAAAGTAATATGATCTGGCTTAGGCACAGACACCACCTAAGTTTTTATACCTTTCCTTACTGGCAAGACACAAAGGACATTCCAGCAGGTTTATTGTAATTTGTTGATTGATGTTCATTCTAGATATCCTTCTGACATAAGAGAAAAATATCCATTCTACGAGGGCTTTTATCAGTTCATCAGCTGTTGTACATAATGCAGTCCTAAAAGGTAGTTGAAAGCCAAGTGACTGAAAATGGCAAAATAGTCTCACATTTATAAGAAGATTCCATTCCCAAATATCTAATGGGTATTATATAATCACTAATATTGGCTCCTACAGTCTCTGCCTGCTTAAAGCACAAGGGGCTCTGCAGATGAAGGAGAAGCCCTACAGGTCAGGGGAGCCTGAGGGCAAGGGTCCATGGAGTGTCATTAGGGCCAAGTGGGGCTTCCCCCTGCTCACTTTAAGATTCCTCCACTTTCCACTTCTTCTCTCCACCATCCCACAACCTCCAGGGAGATGAGGGTGACAGGGAGGATAAGGGGACATTCACCATGAATGGAGGTTCCTGGAAGTGAGCTGGATCCTGATGCCCAGTGGCCCAGGGGTTCCACGGGTCCCACTATTGAAGGTAGCTCACAGGGAAGGATGGATGGAATTGACTAAATCTCGTCTCATCTCTCCTCAGGATCCAAACACTGTCCAAAGAATGTGCCCCAAACAGCATTCTTGTCATTAGTATGCCTGCTGATAATATGAAACACAAATTAAAATGGATATTCAGTCAGTAAAGCCTAATATCTGAAAGTACAGATGTATAACAGTTGAAACTGCCTTTGAATTGACATTTCTTTAGATTTCCCCCCCTTTAGATCACTCGCTACTGTATACTCACAGTACCTGGCCTATAGCAGAAGCTCAGAAAATATTTGTTCAGAAGAATGTGAATGAATAGACTTAAGAATAAATTGCAACACACCCTGCAAGTGACATTTTCAAACACTAAAGAATAATTTCTTTAGTGAAGAAATTATATATATTACATATATAAGGCATTAATCCTAAATACAAAATTGTTTTGGGTAAAATGGTGCTTCTATGTACTGCCAGTTTTAAACACTCTCTAGTTGGTGGTATATTTGTAATTACAGTTGACAGTCGTCACTTGGTACGTGCTCAGGCAGGTAAAATGAATTTCATAAGAGGCTTCTCTTCTAGACCAAAAGAAGGGCATCCCAGAGCAATAGATTATTCAGTGCTGACAGCATTAGAACCCACTTCTTCACTTTAATGCCCACATGAGCCAAATGTTCCCAGTCTGGCTGTCTTACCAGGAATCCATCTACATTGATCAGAGAGCTGCAGGTGTGTCCAAAGGCAACAAATTGCGAGGGGTTTTTCTTTAACTAGTGTACGTATCGAAATGCCAGTGGAGAAAGCTGCGATGAATTTCGACTGAAGATCTGCTACTTCATGAGGTAAATATACTTACAAATGGAATTGTCTTGTAGTTTCTGCTCCTGGAATGGCTGACACTTTCCTTTTCCTCAAGCAGCAGATCTAGTTTGACAATAAAACCGACTCAGATTTTGTTGTATTGATTTTGTTAACATGGGCCCTCCTCTGTTCTTAGGGGTAGAATTTATCTTTCTTTAGGACTAGAGCTGAAGTAGTGATAAATGTGATTAGGGAATGAAACCAGCTCTTAGAGTAAATTCTTTTTTCTACTCCCTCACCATACACATTCCATCTACTTGCCATGAGTTGAGAGAAGGGTTTCCTTCTGGAGAGAGTTGGAAAGAAAGGCTTAGCGTGGGCATGTCCTTGGGTCCTTGACTGAAGGGAAGGAGTGAGACTAGATGTGATGGGTGGGGGATAGGAAATTGCTAACTGGGGGCATGGTCCTGGAGTCTGTTAAGTGTAATCTATAAAATGATACTACAGTTTACTCAGGGGTCCAGCTTGAGATCTTCTGGTTGTCAAAAATATTTGATGCCTTTCAGGTACTGGATTCTGAAATTTCCTGCAGAGTTTAATTTGGACCTTGGTTTGATCCATATGACTGAAGAATTCAGAGAAGTAGCTAGTCAACTAGGATACGAAAAACACGTCAGCCTCATCGACATATCCAGCATGTAAGAGCGGCGCAAGCTTTTCAAACACGATGAGCCCTCTGTTTTGGGGGAGGGGCCAGTGATGACCCCACTAGACCTCAAACCATGCCATTTCGGAACCAAGGTGTGCTTTGAAAGGCCTGGCTGCAGGGAGCACCACTGCACGAGGTTCCTCTCTCCCAGCTATGATTTCTTTCTTTGTAAAATGGGAATAGTACCTTTCCCATAGGGTTATCATGAGCACCCAGTGAATACATAAGAGAGCATGGGAAAGCATTTGGCACACAATAGATGCTCAGTATTTACTAGAAATCTAGTTAATGGCATAGGAATGTGCCGTTGCCACGCACAGTGTGGTGTATGGGTAGGCAGCGTTGGCATCATTCGGGAGCTCAGTAGAAATGCCAGCTCTCGGGCCCACCCTAAACCTGCTGAATCGGAAACTACTTTGATAAGGTCTCCCGGTGATTCATACGCTCATTCCAGTTGGAGTACCATGATGCTTCTGAGGCTGTACAAACGTTGACCACAGTTGTGCCAAGAACTAGTCAGCTCAGTTACTAGGAATGTGGTGCTCATTAGGCTAGCGTTTTAAATCAGCTAGTTAACCTTCACAGAGAAAACTATTTTATGACCCTAACCATGGGTTTCCATCTTGCAAGCACACACTCCTGTGTCCTAGACATTTTTACTCTAGCCTGTTTTCCTGGACTACTTCTTCAAGAGTGATCAACAGTGAGTGATCCAGGAATCATTAGGGATGTTGTTAAAAAAATAGAGATTATTCAGGTTCACTCCCAGTAAATCAGAATCTCTGGCACTGAGGTCCAGACCTCTGTCTTTATAACAGACTTTTTAGATTATCCATATCATCTTGCTGAAGGGTGAGAACCAGTTCGTAGTAGTTGCCACGTGCCTTAAATCACTATCTATGTATTGATAAACTCCCAAATTTATATATACCTAGCCCTGACCTCTCCCTTATGATCCAAACCTTACTGGCCACAAGAAAGACCAAGTAAGAGATTCTGGATGGATCAGTGTAAATCCATCCTGTCTGGGAAAACAACTCGAAGTTTATGTTCTGTTGGCGATGGGTTGGTGGTTTTCTCTTCAAATACACGGGACGGGACGTGTATTTTGCACAAGACCCTGGAAGCAGACCAAGAGTTACAGAGTCATTAGGTTAATAGCTTCCATTGAGTGAAACAGGCTTTCGGCACACTGACCAGACCCACTCTACTTTTATAGACCTTCCTATGATTGGATGAGAAGAGTCACACAGAGGAAAAAAGTGTCAAAGAAGGGAAAAGCCTGTCTGCTGTTTGACCATCTGGAGCCCATTGAGTTGGCCGAGCATCTCACTTTTCTGGAGCATAAATCGTTCCGAAGGATCTCGGTAAGGAACTTGACATTTATTCTTCCAAGGACAACAACCTCTATGCCAACTTTCTTAAGAGCCGCGCTTTCATACTCTGAAGCGTTGGCAGCTCTGTCGCTGTGCTCTCTTGGAAAAGTGCCCTTAATTCACAGGAACAATCCCTTTCCACCAAAAATAAATATTAGCCTGTCTTTATTTTATAGCTAAGGAGCTATATTTCTGTCGCTGTACGTTCAATGTCCCCTTTCATAGGATTAAAGCATGACTTTCTGATTACGCAGTGGAGACTCAACCATTCAAGGGTTATTTAGGTCTGTTGACTTCTCCAAGCGAACGTGTTTTGCTGGGCCCTTTGTTCGGGGGAAGAGATATTTATTGAGGTTGTGATTTGTATAAATGGGTGCAGGTTGAAAATAGGAACCATAGGCTTTGAGGAGAGTCTCACCATCCAAGTGCTTGTTTCCCAGGGTGGAGATCCTGAATTAAACCCTTCTTCCTACTCGATCTTGAGAGTAGGAAGACTCCCTCCTGTGGTCTCTTACTAGCTACCTACCCACCACCCACTCGTTATGATAACATTTCCACAACAGTCCACAAGCAGCCTTTGTCTTCTTCTCACCAAGCTCTGGGGCGGTCTCCCCTCTTCCAAGATGCCAGGCAATGAATTGCATTATCCCTCGCTCAGAAGAACATGAGGTTAGAAACATGGATTTCTGAAAGGCTGGTTCTTTTCACTGAGCGATCCTACTTGGAGAGGCCCTTGCTGACTCCCCGCTGGCAGGCTCTAAGAGGAAATCCCTGCTGTGTTTCTGTGACAGCAGGCTCATACGCATTTGATGACATCCATACCGACTTCCTGAAAATGTGTCTGCTTTACTAAAGAGCTGTCTTCAATTACTTTTTTTTTTTCTTTAAAAAATCTTGATAGACTTTGAAATCATTATATTTATATGCATTTCCTCTTTTTTAATGTACGCTATTGTATCTCAGACTTGCCTGACCATTGGAATCCCCAGCAGTGGGTGGGAAATGGATGTTCTTAGGCTCTTCCTCTGGAGATACTGATCCTTCAGGTTTGGGGTGATCCCAGAAACCACTATTTTAGCAAATGTCGCAGGTGAAAATTATGACCCAGCAATTTAGGATTCACTGGAATGTGACTTGGAGTCTTACCGTTTCCTTGCCCCACCAACACTATCATGTGTAATGAGTATATGTCTATGTTGGGGAGTGAAATGCAGCAAAAGGACATGCTAAACGTACATGCGTGTTCGAACTTAGGAGATGCCATTAAAATGTGAATGAAAGAAATCGTTACGCTGTTATAAAACAATATCTCACCTCTTTCACGAAACATTCTAATTTCTGATTTTGCAAAGACTTCATTATAATTCAGAGTCTCTTTTACTAGTTCACCGATTACCAAAGCTATGTCATCCATGGCTGCCTGGAGAACAACCCAACCTTGGAGAGATCTATTGCTTTATTTAATGGAATCTCTAAGTGGGTCCAGTTGATGGTTCTTAGCAAACCAACCCCCCAGCAAAGGGCAGAGGTCATCACAAAGTTTATCAATGTTGCCAAGGTATGTATATCTGGTCATGAGACTGGAGTTCTTAAAGTATTCTAGATGTCATACGCTCTATTGAGAAAAGTCATTGGGGAAATTTGGGGTTCACAATATAAAGGACAATTAAACTACTCATAAATGTCCAATGAACAAATCATACTTCCCTCAAGCAAGAAGATTGCTTTTAATTGCCCATACCTACAAGCACTTAATGTAGCTATTTTTCTGTGAAATGATTGATATATTTTTCTAGTGAATTTTACTTGCCCTTCATTTTAAATTGATATTATTTTCCCTCGGTCCTTGTTATTAAATTGTGCATGCATTCACCTGTAATTCAGAAAGCTCAGAATAACCGAAAAATTGTTACAGAGTATTGATGTTAACATTTTTAATTGCAGAAACTCCTTCAGCTCAAAAATTTTAACACCCTGATGGCGGTGGTGGGAGGCCTTAGTCACAGTTCCATCTCACGCCTCAAAGAGACCCATTCTCACCTTTCTTCAGAAGTTACCAAGGTACAGTGATTGGACCCTAATCCCAAGTCAGAACTCACTTGTGAACTGTTTAGGGGTAGGATAGTCTTGGCAGGTGCCACTTGGAGGGGAAGCTTTCCTCTTAGACAATGGTAGGTCACATGGGGGTTAAAATAAGAAGGGAATAGACTTGGCACCTGGAAAACGGGGGTGGCAAGTGTCTGAGTAAGAGTACTTTGAATACCATCACATGCTGTAGCTGTAAATATTCAACAAGTATGCATGGGGTGCTTCCTGTGTGACAGGCACTGTGATACACACAGGGGGACAAGGCGAGTAAGACAGAAATCACTCCTCCCCCCCCTCCTAAAATGAAGTCATTGAACACCTGCTCGGTTCATGGCACTGTGTTCAACTCCACAGAAGCTACAAGGGAAGGGGAGACATAGACCTTGTATAGAAACGCCTCCAATTTATTGCTGATTTGTCAGGAATAAAAGTATATATTTTTTTAAATGATTATTTCCAAAATCAAGCTTTCTGCCATATTTATTTCCAGAAAGCTCTAATAATAGTTTTCCTTACTGAACAAAGCGAAACATTTCATTCTTATGAAGAGATTTCCTTGTAAGAGTCTACTTTGAACACTTGCAGCTGTACATTTTTAAAAACTCTTACTGCTTAAACAGTAGGGAATTGGGTCATCTCACACACCTGGAAGCCCAGAGGCAGGGCTGGCTTCAGGCGCGGTCTGATCAGAGCTCCGGCTCCGTCGCTCCGCCTTCCTCTGGGCATCGGTTCTCGCTTTGTTTCGCTTTGTTGTGTGAGCAGGCTGGCTTCCCTTCTGATGGGCCTGTCTGCAGGAAATTACGCTCTCTCGTTCATGAAAGGTGGAGGCACAGAGACCTTTTCTCTTCAGCCCTGACCCCATGGAATTAAAGACTTTCTTTTTGGACAGATTGGACCATCCCAAGTCACATGCCCACTCCTGAACCAGTAAGAGTCGCCAGAGGAATACAATGTATAATGATTGGCTTAACTTTCTATTTCTGAACCGATCACAAACCAGAGGGGAGGAATTAGGATGAAGGCAAATCCTTGGACCTAGGGATGGAAACCGCTGCACCTGAGTCACGGGCTGCTTTGGGAAAGAGCAAACGGATTGAAATAAGGGCCTATTAGGAAGGTCTGGTTTCTCTTAGGCAACCAACAGTAACTTGTTCGTGTAGACAAGAGGATGTAAACCACAGAAGCACTGCTGTCTGACCTCAAACACTGCACCCCTTCCAAGCGTGCTGGGCTCATGATGTGTTTCATGTCCCTTTAGCTTTGTACTGAAGTTCAAGTAAAGAGCAGTGCGTATTTTAAATGTTGTGAAGACTATGAATTTGACAGAAGCTCAGAGGTTTGGAACCACCAATGTGTCTTTAAAAAATATTTATCTTAACTCCTCTTTCTTATAGAAAAGGAAACTGAGGCCCTAAAAAAGTGAAGTGACTTGCTCAAGGTCACCCTTCTAGTTAGTGGCAGAGTTCAAAACCATAGCTGTCTCACACCTCAATGTGCCACTTCCCACACTGTCCCCGACTAACCTTCATGGAATTTATCTCAAATGCAACTTTCTTACAATAACTAGAAAATTTTAATATACTATATACTTAAATATAATACAATACATGCTTGTGTTTGTGGACCCTAACATTTTCATTAATTGCAAAATATTTATACAGACGTGATAGTTAACATCCCAGCTTCCCTAGCAGGTCAGCAGAGGTGCGGGCTGCTTGCGTGTCGTAGCAGGATGGGACAGGCTGTCCAGCTCCTAGCCAGGCCTAGTACATTTTCCTGTTTAATGTGTCCTTGCATCAACATTGGTGAGATTGATAATGCTCTCTGTAGCCGAGGAATTTCCTAGCCACACACTGCAGGCGTGGGGTGGGAAGATGGGAAGGCTGTCTGGAAATTCTCCTTTCCATCTGTTCCCAGAACTGGAATGAAATGACAGAGCTGGTCTCCTCCAACGGCAATTATTGCAATTACCGCAAAGCTTTCGCCGACTGTGACGGCTTCAAAATCCCCATCCTGGGCGTGCACTTGAAGGACTTGATCGCAGTCCATGTCATCTTCCCGGACTGGACAGAGGGAAACAAAGTGAACATCGTGAAGATGCACCAGCTCTCCGCCACCCTGAGCGAGCTGGTCGCCCTGCAAAACGCCTCCCACCACTTAGAGCCCAACATGGACCTGATCAACCTGCTCACGGTGAGTGCAAGGCCCTGGCGCGCGTGCTCATAACTCTTCGCACCTTGTGTCCCAGGGGATGCAGAGAGAGCTGTGCCTGCGATTCCCTGGGCTGCAGGGGGCGGTGAATTCAGGGTCATTGGACAGGGAGGAATCTCAAAGGCTGAGGGGAGGGGACCCCGTTCTCATAACCACATGACTTAAGACTCTGACCTCAGAGCACCCCCGTAGATGCTCTGGCCCTGCAGAGCTGCCTTCAGCCCCTCGCTCTCCTTCATCACACTCATGTCACAAGTCACCTCCTTCTCTATGTCCTCAACGCATCTGCTTCTCTCCATCCTCACCGCACGGCTGTTGTTGAGGCCCGAGCAATGCAAGGACCTCCTTTGAGATCTGCCCCCACCGCCAGCCTCCCCAGACCCCAAGACGCGGTTCCCAGCCTGAGGCTGGAGGCCCGTCAGGACTCACGTTCTGACTCTCAGGCCAGCCTCGGTCATCGTGTGGTCCCGCGTCACAGCTGCCTTTGAGGGATAGTGGATTTCTTATACTTCCCACCACGAACTGCTGCCTCCTGCCTCCTGGTCTTGCACTTTGTTAGAAAATCCCTTCCTTACCCACCCCTGTGATTAGCCCCAATTCAAAAGCCTCTGTCTTTCTGGAGCGTTCTCTGTCCCCCTCCAGAGCAGGAAAGCATCCATCGCATGTGCTCCCCTTGTACTCTACGCCTTCTTAACTATAGGAGGTATCCCTTGGCATTAGACTTTATTTTTCTGTTTACCTGACTTATACATCACAGGTCCCCAGCACCTCTCACAAAACCTGGCATATTTAGGAGCTCAGTAGGTGAATTAAATGCTGTACTTAGGATGATGGAGGTCAGACAGAAGTTGGCCTACCATTCATACTTTTGGGCATTTGTGACACACACCTTTAGCTGGTGTCCAGGTCCTAGCACCTTTAGACACAACAGGTGTGTAGAAGCAAACGTTTCCCATTGGCTGCCTCTTGGTCAAGGGGATGAAGCAGAACCGAATTCTCTCAGCCTTGCCAACAAGTAGAGGAGCAACTTCCCTGTTTAGGGTTTTCACACTGTGGCATCTAAACTTGGCTGCAATACTGAGTCACTAGTTTCCTTTAATGGCCGTGGGAAATAAAACCAGCNAAGTAGAGGAGCAACTTCCCTGTTTAGGGTTTTCACACTGTGGCATCTAAACTTGGCTGCAATACTGAGTCACTAGTTTCCTTTAATGGCTGTGGGAAATAAAACCAGCCTTTCTGAAGCTCTGAGAGCCTAAGTCCCTAGGACTGCAGCACTGGNCGTGGGAAATAAAACCAGCAGCCTTTCTGAAGCTCTGAGAGCCTAAGTCCCTAGGACTGCAGCACTGGGATAGAGTGTGGCTCCTAGACCTTCTCACCGACTGTTCCTAGAGCACGTAATTGTTTACCAAAGAAGAGAAACCCTGCATGTACAAAATGATGCCAGCTGCACCCTTAGTATAAAGCAGAAGTAGCCACACACAGAAACACAGACCTCTTAGGGTCGACTTTGTGTGACAAATAGTAAACAGAGAGACAGTCTCTATTGGGGGGGGCAAAAAACCGCACAATAATCCAGGCACCTGTGTTTATTAATCATTTGCCTTGTAAATCTGTTTCCACAAATAAGTGCCCAGAGTGGCAGCTTCAAACAGACTGCACACCCGCAGACACAGGTGATGCCGCCTGCAGACCGCCCTCGGTTTCGCATGCCCGTGTCCGGGCTGCCTCGGTGACGCGGGGAACGTCACCTCAGAGGTGTCTCATCAGGCAGAAGATCGTGATGGCACAGGGAAGTGATTCTGGGTGACATCGTGACAGGTCTTAGAGAAACACTGAAGGATTTGGGAATAGAACTTTTAGGATGCAAATCGAAAATCTAGAGAAAGAAAAGCTAAGACATAATTCCTTTTTTGCTGGGAAGAAAAGACAATAGGAAAAAAATGCCCACTCACCCTCTGTCTCTCTCGCGGAAGGGAAACCTAGACGCCAGCGTGCCCCGTCCTCGGCGGTGGCGGTGCTGCGGTGTGGTGTGGCACCAAGGCCCTACGGGGCGCCTGCCGCCGCAGTCGCTTGGCTGTGTCTCCTTGCCCGCGAGCCCTGACCTGGGATTTTTGCGAAAGGATTTTGCGCTCACTCGTGAGGTCTCTTCCAGCTTCTGGGATCCTAGGTGTAAGGAATGTGGAGCCTTGAGAACAGGGACCCGGGTGTCAACGGGGTGGGCTGGTTGCAGCCCAGAGACTCCGCAGACAGCACCGCCCCTCGCAGGGGCATCAGGCCGGCTCCTGCTTAAAGCCAAGGCCCTTCCTGCCTCTTCGCAACCGGGAGAGAGGCAGCGCCCGGGGACGCGGGGCCCCGGGGCCCTGGGACGGGCATCCTTTCTGCCTGGCCCTCCCACGGTGACGATGGGCGACTCCCTGAGCTGCCCCCAGGGCCCCTGGCATTTCAAGGAGCACCCCCCC